CTCACCCACTCCTGAATCTGCAGTCGGTACGGCGAGTTGTAGCTGTGCACGCGACACACGAGAAGACATTATACACTTTAACATGTTTTTCATCGTAATTCACGCACAAACCGGCCCTACCAGGCCACAATGTCTGTCCACAAGCACACGACAACACCTCACTTTGACATTCAATTTCACGCAGACTTGCACTGTTGCTCTAGTCTCGTCAACCTCTCTGGCGGGACTCGAACACGCAATCGTGTCAGACCACCATTACACCGTAAATGCCACCCGTCACAGAGGAGCACAGGTGGCAGCCTTGCTTCTTTTTTTTATTAAACTCGACTAGACTACTTACAATCAGTGAAAGTAGCTTTTGTCACTTGTACCAAATCTCAAATAAGAGTGGAAAAAGTACAGTACAAATATTTTAAAGTCTTCTTTAAACACGTATAAGTTGTACAACTTGTGTTGACCTTATTTCGTTTAGGGTGATGAAGGACCGGTAGTAGAATTTTCCCACAATGTTATGAATAGAGCTCATAGCCCCAAGCGGGAGTCGAACCGTGATAGATGTGAATTTCAGGGAATGTCAAGCATTTTCCATACCACATTCAGTGCTGGGATTGTCGATAAAGCAATCGACAACATTACTTATTTTCGTAAGTGAGTATGTTTTCGAGGCTACCAATAAATCAAATATATGAAATGTATTCATTATATTTCGTTTAAGTTGATGCAAAGAAAAATGCCCTTGCACCCAACGGCACTTGCAGCAACGTCGAGCTTACACGCTGGGCTGTCACGGTTCGACTCCCGTTCGGGCTGCTGATGAGATCAGTTGCGGCGAGGTCGAACCGGCAGTCCACTCCGGCCGGGACGAGAAACACTTTTTGCAAAGCAAGGCAATACTCTCATGAGATTGTGGGAAACTCCAACTGGCAGTTCTTCATCAGCTTACACGAAATAGCGTCTCGCAAACGTACTCACTTACAAGATATGCATTGCTTTAGTCGATTTTAATGACAAAATACAACTTTGCCACCGCGAAACTCCCATTAAATAATATGTTTTTCTTGAGTCCACGTCTACCCAGTGAGCCTCATTGGCACTCGTGCCAGCCTGTACTGCCACAACCAGAGTTCGAGTCCCGTTGGAGCCGATAATGACGTGGCTTCAAGCAAAGTCGAAACTGCCGTCCACTCCAGCCTTGATGAGCCAATTGTGGCGACAATTTAAGCATCAATTCTTGTTCATCTCATGCGACCAAGACTGACTGGAAGTCGTAATTAATATTCATGGTTGGTCTCGCGACCTACAGCTCCAAGCGAAAAGAGCCATTTGGTCGAACAAGTAGAGCCAAACTCGACTTGGAGTGATTGTGCGTGTGTGTGTGTGTGTGTGTGTGGAGGTACTGACCGGTTGTTCGTCAACGACGTGAGCACCAACAAAGAGTCCTCGAGCAGCTGGATTATCTCCTGCGTCCGTTCGCCTTTGAGGAGGAGTTCGCCTCGCGTCTTGAACGGCATCAATCGCAGCTCTTGACAACGCCAGTCGTTCATGACGACCTGCAGTTTGGCCTCGATCTCACATTCCCTCGCGGCTCCGATGCAAACCTCCTCGACTTCGTCACGAACGGCTCCGTCGCCCGGTCCGATGGGCAGATCCAGCACCATCCGCACCGTCACGTCGTAGGCCTCGGGATCCAGTTTGCGCTGTCCGGTCAGTTCGCCGATCCGTTGCCAATGACGCTGCTTCATCGCTTTGTTTCGCAACATCTCCAACAGCGGAAGCTTGCCCACCAGACTGTGCAACGTCGTGTCGAGTTCTGTGTAGGCCGGCCAACTGCGCAAGGCCTTCGGCAATCGCTTGCATCTGCACCATTCAGAATGGCCAGACTCAGCGAGTTCGACGGGTTTGGTGTGTTTGGAAGGGTCGGCCGGTTCGCAGCGTCCGTCGTTGATGAAGTGTTGTCGAAGGTGTCGGAAGAACCGGACGCGTGGCACCGAGACGTGGCGTGCACGAGGAAGCAGGCGTCGTGGAGAAGATATTGGCACAAAAAGTGGTGGTCAACCAAATAACAGCATTAACATCATTTTGTGCAATCCGCAAGCCTTTTATTTAAATAATTTATTATTTGTTTTTATTACAACAACTACTGATTAAGATAAAAGTAGTTTCGGCAACAGTATTTTTTCATAACTTTTCTATTATCCATTCAGTTCTATAATTTTTTCTGCTCCTTCGAGATCGAATGTATGAAGTGTATGTGCATTTAACTTTGATTTCATATGAAAAACGACGGCCGATTTGCGTCGTTGTGAAACTACGTTTACCACAACGTTCATGCTGACGCAGTCCACGAGACATCCTACCTCGTGGAATTGATACTTAAAACAGGTCCAAGTTGGAAACCAAGTAAAGATGACAATCCGGCTGCATCCTGCGTGTAATGTGCATACTCACAACTAAAAACGAAAATGTATAGATAAAGATAGATGGATGTAAAATATACACATACAGATGTGATCATACACATACAAGCATGCACACTCAAGTATGAAATAAGACGAAACAAATATTTGCCTACCAACCGTTCTACTCATTCCTCCAGCTGCGGCTTGTCTTTTTCAGATACGAGTGTGCATGTTTGTATGCGTATATTCACATCTTTCATGTGTGTATTCGACATCCATCTATCTTTGTCTATACATTTTCGTTTCTAGTCGTGATTATGCAGCTGGATTGTCATCTTCACTTGGTCTCCACGTTGGACCTGTTGCCACGGGAGCCCAGTCCACTTTGACGCGAAACGAGAGAGGATGTCTCGTGGACGGCGTCAGCATGACGGTTGTGACGAAGCCAAACGGGGCTTCAGAAACACGCGAATCGGGCGTCGCTCGATCGGTCAATCTCTTCACTTTGCACATTCGACAACAACATGTAAAGAATGCCTAAGCAACAGCGATCCTCTTTCCACGAGGTCACAGCAGCCGAAGTGGTACTTGCAGGGTGGAGTTGAAGAGTCGGCGGATTTTAGTCGTCCTGCCAGCAAGTGCAGACAAGCCAACAGCCGAAAT